ACACAACTGTGAACTGTTCGGTTTGAGCTGCCCTCCACCCTCAGGAGCACACCGGTCAAAGCGCTGACGGTCGCTTCTTGTGCTTGCACCCTCCTAACGGTATCTAGCCTTTTTAAGCTCTCAGAATTTGCTGGGCTATTACTCCTATTTTAGTTATTGATAAGAAACAGGCCTGCAACACTTACTCCATTTGGCTAAGGTAAGTGGTTCCATAATTCTCTCCACATACAGCAAGTGGTAGAGCTATGGTGTGAATTCATGGCATTGTTAGGGCTTACACCTAGATGGCCCCAAAAGTTTCATGAGCTTGTACAGGAGGCTTTATAGAGCTGGCTGGATTAAGGGTAGGGGACAACTAAATTAGCCCACCAGATGATTTCGCATACTTCTGGGTGTCGCTGTTAGGGGAGCCTAACCCAGACATGAGTGCCACCAATCAACAGGCTTGCAGCCCGAGTGTAATAAAAGGGAAAGGGAGGCTGGGTGCCTGCTGCTTCCTACCTGGCCTGCCATGGACTGTTTTTCCTCTCTGAGGCCACGCTGCCACGCTGCTGACCTTGGAGCCAGCTGACCATGGATTAAAGCCTGTACAAACTGGGAACTAAAACAAATCTCTCTTCTTCAGCTTGCAGATGTCAGGTATTTTGTCTTTGCAACAAGAAGGTGACTGAGACAGGTAGACATTCCAGTAATGCAGAGTGCGTCTTGTGAGCGCTCCCTTAGCCCACAGAGAGCCCGGGGTGGTCAATGTGCAGACCTAACCGGCCCACTGGGGTGGAGCCTTGGCCCTGCATGCCTAGCAAGCTTTGGTGATGCTGAAGCTGCCGCCCAGGACCACGCTGAGGGACTCAGGCAGTCGGACAACGGATGTGGGCGTGGCTGTTCTCCCGTCTCAGCAGGAGCTGGAATCGGCCACTGTAAGGAGAGCCGGCCAGCCTAGTCGATGCTGTGAATAAAGCAGCTTCACACACGTATTTCCACAGTGAGGTGAGCCCCACCCTCTGAGTCTCTCTGTAGCTCCCAGCATGGGTGACATGTCCACAGTGTCACCATACTCCAAGGAGCCATGAGTTGCCATTTGTCCAGCATCAGGAAGACCCCAAGTCTGGGGCCCGCACAGTCCCATGTCCAGGCCTTTTCTCTCTGAAGTTGATTGTGTTTTGTTGTTGTTGTTGTTGTTTTGGTTTGTTGTTGTTGTTGTTGTTTTTGTTGTTTTTTGGTGGAACCGGGGATTGAACTCAGATCCTTGCATTTGCCAGTCAAGCGCTTATCCTACTGAGCCATCTCCCCGACCCCTGAAGTTGAAATATGACTTTTGTTTTGCATCATTCAACTATTTATTCAATGAATGGGACTTTGGCTGCATGCCGGGCCCAGGCCCAGTGAGAAAAACCCAGACTAGCGTTCAAACCTTGCTCCTTTATGACTAGGTTGGGTGACCTTGAACATGTTACTTAACCTCTTGAGGTAATAATATAACTTTACCAGAATGAAAGAAGCTCTGGCCAAGAGGACTACAATGTGAGCCATATGTGTCATTTTGATTTTTCCAGTAGCCACATTTAAAAAAGAAGAGCTGGGAGTATAGCTGTGGTCGAACTCATGATTGGCATGGATGTTCCCTGAGTTCAGTACGCAGCCCCACAAAAAAATTTTGCAATCTAAATTTAAAATAAGAGCCAGCCAACTAGCTCAGTGGATTAAAGCACCTGCAAGCAGGTGCAGGGACCGGGGGTTCAACCCCTGGGCCTGCTGTGGCGGCCCCACTCCTGGGGTGCGCTGAGATGGCAATTGAGACTGGGCGTGGTGGCACGGGGCTGTAATCCCAGCTCTTGGGAGGCTGTAAACAGGCGGATCACTATGAGTCCAATCTAGTAGTGAAACCCTGAACACCCTGTAGATCTTCCCTAAAATACACACACAAAAAAAAGGAAAAAAAATTAAAATAAAAAAGAGATAGGAGCATTTAATTCTAATAGTATATTTATTTAACCTAATGTAGTCAAAATATAATTTTAAATATAATTAAAATAAAAATATAATAAGAGGTATTGTTCCGACCAGTCTTGTGCTCACTTTGTGGCCCAGGCTGCTCTTGAACTTGCAACGATGCTCCTGCCTCAGCCTCCTGAGTGCTGGGATTGCAGGCGTGCACCACCACACCCAGTCTTTGTAGCAGTACCAGATCAAACCCGGGTCTTTGTGCTCCTCAGGCCGACGCTCAGATCACCGAGCCGGCTGCCCGGCCCCAGGAAGGGCAACAACTTGAAACTTATGAATTGCTCATTTCTCTAACTTTTCACTTAGCGTTTTCATGCTGCAGCTGACCACAGGTAACGAAAACTGTGGAAACTGAAACCACAGAGGAGGGAACTTACTGGACCAGTTTTGGGGCAATACTAGTGGATAGAGGATGGCACAAAATGCCACAGCCCACCGAATCTAGAGCAGGAGAGATCCTGTGAGGAACAGGATAAACGGCCTGGAGGGAGGAGGACGCGTGTAATGAGGGAGAGGCGCGTGTAGGCTAAGTGAGATGAAGCTTTAAACAAAACAAAAAGCCAGGCTTGGGGGGGCGGGGGATGGTCAGAGATCACTAACAGATGAGGACAGTGGTTGTGTTTACCGAGTATGAAGGTGCCACCTACTGAGGGTGCACGCTGAGGTGCCTGAGAAAGTGCCAGCATTTGCTCTCAGATGCTCTGGGAGTGGCGGAGCATCGGGCCAACACATAAGCCAACAAAAACAAAGAGAAGAGAACAGATGAGATGAAAGAGCCAAAGCCCTGGTAAGGCAGGCGCTTGGTGACCCCTGGGGACGGGGCATCAGCTGGAGAACGCCCGGGTCCTGTCGCGAGGTGCAAGCAGCGCAGCGCACAGAGCAGGCGGCGCTGTGCTGCACGCAGCCATCCCGGCAGCTGGCCGCCGCGGACATCCAAGCCCTACCCCGGGCTGCTAAATCAGAGCCTCCGGGTTCAGGCCCTGGAATCTACATCTCGGTTAGCTCTGTGTGCTACTGGTTCATACCGCATGGAACCGTGAGAGCAGGAGGCTTGCCGAGACTATTACCGGGCCCAAATCACGGGACGCACAAGACTAAGCTCTTTGCTCGAAGCGGGATGAGTCCCACCAAGAGCCTGTGGAAGCCAGAGCCTCCGGCCTAAAAGAACGAGCTCTCTGATGGGGAGCTGCAGCCCGCCCCTTCGGGGCCACTGTACCCAACTTCTGTGCTATGTCCCTGCAGAACCCTTAACACCAGCACAGAAGTCCCTTCGGACTACACGGCAGGCCTCTGCAGAGCCCACCTGACCTCCCAGCCTGCTCCCTCCCCCTCGGGGACCACTTCAGTGTCGTCACTCCTCCAACCCCGAGGGGCTCCCTCCGCCATCCTCCAGCTCAGACCCCTTCCTTGCCTGTCCCAATACATAAGCCTCCAAAGGTCACGCCCAGCTCCCTGGGGACCACAAACCGTGGCTGCCTGCTTTCTCAGTAAGCACCCAATGCTGCCTAGGGAAGGGTCCTGGCTCTGCATTCTGGACAACCCCAAGGACAGTAAGGTGACTGCTCACTGCCGTGTCAACCCGACCAGGTTAAGGAATGCCCGGAGGATCAGTGAAGCACCCTTGCAGATGTGACTTGGCGGGTCACGGAGGAGTGGCCTTGGGGCCACTGCAGTGCCTGACCCCCCCCCCTCCTGGCACTCTTCCCCGGCTCTGCCACGAAGCCAGCATCTTTGTTCTGGCATACCCTTGCACAAGTGCTCCTGCCAGGGAGCCAGCAGGCCATGGAATGGCACCCTGAGCCGTGAGCCAGGCTTGATCGCCCTTAAGTCATGGGTGTTCGGTTGTTGCCAAAAGAAAGCTCCCTCACACGGGAGGGCAGGAAGCTCACAGCCTCCTCTCTGGCAGTGGTGAGCACGGCAGCCACACGTCCTCACGCCCATCCTCCCTCAGAGCGGCTCTGCCTCCCCTCCCCCCTCCTCACAGCGCTAACTACTTCCAGGCTGTCACACGGACGGACGGACGGACGACAGCTCCTCTGAGTGCTTTCCGGGTCCACCCTCGGACACGAGGACGACCTCGCCGCAGAGGTACGTGGAACACAGGTCCGCACCAGCTATCGCCCAGCCGCCACTCTCTGGTCTCTCCCCACCCTCCTGGTCCCCCCACTCACCCGTCCTCGGGTCCTGTTCTTCCGCTTGGGAATATCCTCCTCTAGGTCCTCTTCTTCATTCCCTTCATCTACGTTTTCATCATTTTCCAAAACTCTCTGGAATAACAAGAAAGTCAACAGAAGAGTTGAGAAACACAATCCGAAGGAAAAAACAGCAGAGGGTAACTTGGGGAGAGCGCCCCTTGGTCACTGGTACTGGTGTCTTACTTTGTTTGGATTTTGCTTTGCTTTGTTTCATTTTATTTTGTTTTATAGTCCTGGGGATTGAACCAAAGGCCAAGGCCTTTTTAATTTTTTTTTTAATAGGATCCATTCAGTCACTAAATCACTCAGGTTGGGTTTGAACTTGCAATCTTCCTACCTCAGCCTCGCAGAATGCTGGGATTGCAGACCTATAGCACAATCCTGGCAAAACTGACCCCTTTAATGTAATTAATTTTTGCATGGCTAAAGGGCCAACTAAGAAATACAAAAATATGTTTCTCCTTTCCCTACCTTTCTGGAACCCTGACCAAGTAATGTGCTGTGCCTTTGACCGGAATGTAATATTAATGTGCAACTCATAAGAATGCCTGAAGTTCCAGCATTCGGAAGGCTGAGGCAGAAGGATCACCAGGGGTTCAAGGCCCACCTGAGCTACATAGCAAGATCCTGTCTCAGATAAGGTGAGGTGAGGTGAGATGTGGTGATATGAGGTGAGGTGAGGGAGGAGGTGAGGTAAAATGAGATGAAATGTAGTGAGGTGAGGTGAGGTGATCTATTGTTATTTTAAAGAAAAATAAATGTTATTACAACCTAAGGAGTTAAAAATCATGAACCCAAATGATCTCTCTACAACAGTTTTCAGAGTCATACTACAGGCTAGAATGGGGAGGCTGAGACAGGAGGATCTCTATGAGTCCAAGCTGTGTAGTGAGAACATGTACCAATAAATAAATAAAAGATTATAAATACATAAGTAAAACAAACTGAGGCCCAAAACCGTTTCAACTGTTTATGACCAAACCAAGAAGCCACGACAGAGCAAGCTCAGGCTCAGGAGCTCAGCTTCCCCTTCATTCCTCAGCCCTCAGGGCTGAATTCCAAGGTGTAGCTCAGTGGGCATTTTTCTGTAGGGGCCTATGCAGCTCACGCCCTCCAGGAGAGAGGGCACGAGGAGCCAAGGTGTGTGCTCCAGGCTTAAGGGAAGGATAGGAGGTCATGGCAGAGGACCCAGCTCCCACCGTGGAAGGTAGAAAAGAGGAAAAGGGAAGGGCTTCAATCTCACTGAACTCCATGTCGGGGGCCCCCAGGGTTTCTTCACGAGCTCACTGTGAGACCTCAGACAAATCACGTCTTCTCGTCTCAGGGTCCCCAATTACAGAACAGGAATTCATCCATTCGTGTGCAAACATTGCACGAGCACTGACTGCGTAGCAGGCCTTACGTCAGGCGAGGTGCAGAATGGGTACAGTCCTGGCCCAGACGGATCTTAAGGTCTGTTTTAATAACTCTGGTGAAAGGAGGATAGACTGAAATGACATACACAACTATATAATTCCAACTGCTATCGAAACAGTGACAGGCAAGTTCAAGTAGCTCTAAGAAGGCAGGAGAAAGGAATTTTACATAAGCTGGGGATCAGAGAAGGCTTTTGGGACTGTGACAAAGGCCGGTGAGATGTGGACAAGTGGCAAAAAGTAACCTTGGGGATGGGGACAGAACAGAAGAGAGTGCCAGGCAGAGAGAAAACTCCCTGAGCCAAGGCGAACCCTGGCCTGCCCAGGGAGCAAGAGATGGGTGAGCAGAGCCCCATGGCTCAGGGATAGACAACGGAGGTGACACTGGGAAGGTGGGCAGGCACCACATGCCAGGATGACACCACCATACATGTAGGGATGGTGTGTGCAGCGCATGAGCAAATGATGACACCACCACTGTCCACGGGACTGCCTGGCCAGGACACAGCTCTGCGACACCAGGAGGGAGATGCCGGTGACCTTCAGCGCGGCCTTTCTGCCAAGCTCCTGCGCCCCAGCTACAGTCCTTCCAAGGAGCCCAAGGCAGTTCTAATAAATTCTTCTCTGGCTTCTCTAGGTTTTGTTGGGGAACCACCACCCAACAGCACACGTGGGTCTCTAGGCCAGCCTTAGCCACTGAACGGAGAAACAATCTGTCCGCAGGACACACCCTCTACTCCTAGCTAGGAATGCTGGCCCCAGTCCAGAGTAAGGTTCTCAGCTTCCTGACCAGCCAGGGGGATACTAGCAAAAGCCAGGCCAGACAATGACAGGACAGGCGCAACGTGGCCTTCAGTGACAAAAGCAGAGTCTAAACATAAGGTACAGTTATTAGGACTATTGTTGCCAATTGTATAGCTACCTCACAACTTTCTGGATCTTGGAGTCATTCAATCGTGGTAAACTCTGAGTCTGGAACGTAAAGGCCGCTGCCTCTGGCAACTCAGCGCATGCTGACGCCACCGTCACTTGGTACTGTGAGGGTGTTTACATTCCTAGCATGCTCCTGGGCTGGAAGGCGAGAGGTAGGCACGCCACGGGGCCTCCATGTCCAGAGTGAACAGACTTCTCTTCGCCCCAAGGCTTCGTCCCTCCCCTTCCCATCAGCTCCTTGGGGACTCTAGAACCTCCCGTCCACGCCCGGGCCTCAGACGTGCTGGCAGCGGCCCGCATTCTGCACTTCCTGCCGGGTGGCCCTGACCCCAGGAGTTTCTTTATACAACTCGTCCCTTGGGAGGAGCCAGGAGGTCCCCACAAACAACAGTCATTCCAAGGCTCAGGAAGCAGGGGGAGCCCCGGTTAGGAGTGAAGGACAGGGGTAGTCCCACACAGAATCAGCTCGTGCCCTGCGACATACCAGCAGGCCTTGCCCAAGGTCATCATCTGGAAAATAAACACATTTTAAAATAACCTTTCTGTTACTCTAAACAGTCTTTACAGTGACAGTAATGGGGTGGGGGGTTATGTTATAAAAAATCCTTTCTAGAGACTTCATAATCGCTGGCCAGGATGACTCCAAAGATCCACTGTCCCGCCCTCCAGCGTTGGCCCTGTTCCTCTCCTCTCCATGCGGAGCCAGAGGAATCTTGATGACGAATAAATTCACTGCCAGAACCAAAATCCTCCAGTTATAATGCCAATGCTGGGGAGGCTAAAAATAGGAGGATCGCTGAGTCTGAGCTACGTAGTGAGACCCTGTACCAAATACATTTAAAAAAAAGAAAGAAAGAAAGAAAGAAAGAAAGAAAGAAAGAAAGAAAGAAAGAAAGAAAGAAAGAAAGAAAGAAATCCTGCAATTGGCTTCTTTTTCCATTGCACGGGAACCCAAAAGCCACCTCCCTGCCCCCAGGGCCTGGCTCCCACAGGCCTGGCCACCTTCACCCTGGACCCCTCTGTCCCTCCCACCCCTGTGCACCCTGCTCTGGCCACACCGGCTTTCCATCAGTCCTCTCCACATGACAAGCTCTAACCTGCCCCAGGCTCCTGGACCCTGCCGCCTTCCAGAAGATTCTTCCCCAGGAGTCGCTCTGTGCTGGGTCTTCTCTTCGCATAGGACCAAGGCTGAACCCCTCACCTCACTTAGGACCCTCTAGAACCCCCCTTCCACTGAATCCTCGCGCTGCTTGTTCTTGTGGCATTTGGCTGCTCGGCATTTGTCCAAACATGAAATTATTTTATTTACTTCTTTTCTGTCTCTATGAGTTGCAGAGTCAGATCTGTCCTGGTCCTTCCATGTCCTCAGCACCCAGGACATCGTCTGTCCAGGGGAACTCCTCTTTAAACTTGGTGAGAAGAATAAATGAAAATGAAGGAAAATGTAGAGCCTATGCACTCCACCTCTAGTGACACACAGCTGACGAAACACACCAGCTCAGCTCTGGCCTCGGGAAGTTCACGTTCAGTCGAAGAAAACAGACACTAACTGAGACTATGAGAAGTGAAAAACCTTCAGAGTACAACAGATGGGGGTGAAGGAAAGAGAGGAGTGAACAGTGGCGGGGGAGCAGGTGGTGCAGATGCTGAGGTCCGGGTACTTGCCAGAGAAGGGGCAAGAGCAAGGAGCTCGAGCAGGAGCGGGCAGAGCGGGGAGGAGCCTCGGGCAGGGCCAAGGGCCAGAGCAAAAACCCAGGCGGGGACGTGGCTGGGGCAGCCGGAGCAGCCAAGGCCTGGAGCGGGAACCCTGGAGCAGAAGGCGTGAGGAGCACAGGAGAGCAGCCATCAGAGAGCAGTTTGAGGGCCTTGCTTTCAGAGCGGACGACAGTGACCACTGCAGGGTTCCGAATACAAGAATGGCAGAAGCCAACCTTTAAAAGGCTTCCACTCCGGTGGCTCATCCAGACAATGCAATACTATTCCCCAGGAAAAAGAGACAGGCTACCAAGCCACATAAGGACAAGGAGGCGTTTCCCTAAGCGCAAAGAGCCAATCTGAATAGACTATGAGATCCCACCTGGACGACACTTGGAAAAGGTAAAGCGATACCCCACGTGAGAAGACCAAGCAGGCACTGCTAGGAATTGGGAGGGAGGGAGGGAGGGACAAAGGGAGAGAGGGAGGGAGGGAGGGACGGACAAAGGGAGGGAGGGAAGGAGGGACAAAGGGAGAGAGGGTCAAAGGGACAAAGGGAGAGAAGGAGAGAGGGACAAAAGGAGAGAGGGAGGGAGGGAGGGACAAAGGGAGGGACAAAGGAAGGGAGGGAGGGAGGAAGAAAGGAAAGGAGGAAGGAAGGGATGGACAAAGGGAGGGACAAAGAGAGAGAAGGAGGGAGAGAGGGAGGTAAAGAGGGAGAGACAAAGGGGGACAGGGAAGAAGGAACATATAGCGGAGTGCAGGCTGCTTATGGCACTGAAATGTTGTGCATGATGCCACAACGGTGGCCACTTGTCCTCGCACAGTTCTCCAGCTCAGGGGCTGTCCAGCACCAAGATGAGCCCAACATAAGCCAGGCACTGGGGACACTGATGCGTCACTGCAGGCTCATCGATACCAAGCTCAGTGGAAGACTGATGCCGGGGGCTGCGCCCGTGGGGGGCGGGCAGGAGGCACACGGGAACACCCTGTGCCTACCTCTCAGTTCTGCTATGAATCGAGATTCTTATTTCATTTCAGTTTAGTTTTATTTTAAAGGAAATTTTTTAAAAAGAAAATTAAAAACGATACAGAATTTCAGAACAAGCGACAAGAAAACAACAATGGTTGTTATACTGTGTATTATTATCTTCAAATGAGTCGTCCTGATAACCAGATATAAGCACGCAAAATAGGTCAAAAATTTTTTTTAAATTGAGCATTAACTGTTCCTTTCAATAAACCAATAGAAGTTAGTAGTACCATTATTTTAGCTGTCTTGTGCATGTGTGTGTACTTTCTTTTCCCCTTCCTCTTACCTTTCTGTTCTCCATTCCCCCTCCCCAGCTATTCTCTCCCATTAGGCAGTTTCTCTCCCTTTCACAGCATCTACTGTGCCTCTCACATTGTATTTACTCTCTCAGGTTCTCACACTCCTGAGACAAGATGACGCTTACACATGTGGGTCCCACTTACCACACTCTGAGTACAGTCCCTAGTTGCATCCATTTATCTACAAAAGCCTTGAGTTTATCTTTCTTTATAGCTGAGTAATATTCTATTGTATAAAAACTACCATACCTTTTTTATCCGTTCCTCCGTTGATGGGCATTTGGATTGTTTCCAAGATTTAGCTGTGACAGATTGCGCTGCTATAAACGCAGGGGCACCTATATCGCTGTGGTATGATGTTTTCAATTCTTCTGGAAACAAACCCAGAAGGGGAATAGCTGGGTAGAACGGGACCTCTACCCTTAGTTTTTTGAGGACTGTCCACACTGATTTCCACATAGGCTGTACCAGTCTGCACTCCCACCAAGAGTGGAGAAGGGTTCCCTCTCCCCCACAGCCTCATCAGGATTTGGTACTGGCTGATTTCTTAGCTGTTCCGCCGGGGTGAGATGGCATCTCAGTGCTGTTAAACTAAACTGTGTGGGAAACACTTCAAAGAATCAACAGCTGGGATCTCATCTTATTGGAAAGCTTTTGCACATCCAAAGAAATCACCAACAGAGAAAAAGAAAACCCACGAACTGGGGAAAAAATTTAGCCAACTGACCCTCAGACAGACTCCTACCTAGAACAGATAAAGAATGTTACAAAATCAGGACCCCAAAATTCAAAGACCCAGTCCAAAAATGGGCATCTGAGATGAATACACACTTCTCAGATGAAGAAATATAAATGGCAAATAAATACATGAAAAAATGTTCAACATCATTGAAGGGTCATTCAAGAGATGCAAATTAAAATTCTTACTTTAAAAAGAATCATTTTGGGGCTGGGGAGACAGCACAGCAGTAAGCGCCTGCCTGGCAAGTGCAAGGACCAGGGTTCGATCCTTGATGCCACGTGCTGTGCAGGCCCCGGAACCCCAGGCGCCCCGTGCCATCCCCAAAACCAGTGGGTGTGGTGGCACACACTTGTAATCCCAGCGCTGAGGAGGCTGGGACAGGAGGATCGCTATGAGTCCAAGCTGCATAGTAAGACCCTGTCTCAAAAAGAAACACTAAATAAATAAAACTTAAAGAATCATTTTAAAGACACCTTGTGGAGCATGAGCAGAATGACCATTAAGAAGGTCCTACAGAACTCTAGGAAGAGATGACAGTGGCCTGGACACCAGTAGCAGTGATGATGTGGGGGAAGCGGTCATGCTCTGGATTTACGCTGAAGGCGACAGGATTCCTGGTACATGGATGTGAGATGTGAGAGATAGCAGTCAGAAATGACTGCAAGGGAGCCAGGCATGGTGGCGCACTCCTGTGATCCCAGCACTCGGGAGGCTGAGGCAGGAGGATCGCTGTGAGCTTGAGACCAGCCTGGGCTACAGAGTGAGCCTTGGGCCAGCCTGAGCTGTACAGGGAGACCCTGCCTCAAGAAGACTGCAAGGTCTTGGCAGACAAATAAAGCTTGCCGTTAATGAAGATCTCCACCAGGATTGGCTAGAACTCATGGAAAGTAGAAGAGGGAAAGAAAGTATCAGTCAGGAGGTGGTAACTAAGTGGAAAAGACCCGACCATTCATCTCAGAGCGGGAACAGCGGGGGAGGGGCCGCTCCAGCGACCAGCCGAGGTCTGCCCTGGGCGCCGCCTCTGCGCCACCTCCGCGCCGACTTGGAGGGACTCGGAGCACGGGGCCGACGGCGCAACCCGACCGCTGCAGCCCTCTCCCTGAGGGAGCTTGCAGCTTGGCGGTCCTTACCAGGCCAATCCAAGTGGAGTCTTCATTTTTAATTTAATTGTTTTTTAATAAATCAGTGAATTAATTAAAGATTAATTAATGGGATATAAAACTAATATACAATGAATATGACAAAATATAAAATTTAGTGTGCAACATAAATTTAATGTGCATATAATTCAGTTCTTTTAATTATTAGTACTATTATTTTATATTAGCATGAAGTGATATTATTGTAATATTCTATGTCCACCATTGTCTTTGCTAATAGGGATTCACGGCCAGCGAGGAAGCCAGGTGTGGGGACCTGTCATCCCAGCACTCGGGAGGCTGAGGCAGGAGGATCATTGTGAGTTCAAGACCAGACTGGGCTGCAAAGTGAGCTCAAGGCCAGCCTGACTTGCCTAGCCAGACCCTGTCTCAAAAACACCAAAAAAAAAAAAAAGGCCAGTGAGGAGTGAGAAACGGCACGTCACACCACGATAATCCTGTGTCTCCGAGCTGAAGCGCAGGCAGTGGGCACAGAACACAGAAGCCACCATGCCTGCCTGGGAGGGCCAGCCCAGCCAGGGGGAGCCTGAGCGGTAGGAGCCGCAGCAGAGGCCAGGGTGTGAGGAAGGGCCGGCAAGGGCTCGCTCGGGGGGCAGTGAGCCGGAGCACGCGCCGTTCGCGGCACAGGGCGAGGACAGCCCGTGCGGCCCACGTCGCGTCCCCACCACCCAGCACACAGCACCTGGTTCTCAGCAGGCTCAGTAAATGTACTGTGAATGGAGAAATGGGAGAACCTAGGAGAAGAGTAGATTTAGGACTACTGTGAATCCTGCATTAAGTTGGACAAGAATTTGTGAGCTTCCGGGTAGCGGCTCTAGGGGCCCAGCTGGGATGACAGCCAGACTCGGCCGCTGCTCTGCAGCAGCCCCAAGGGCACAGGGCTACCTGGATCTCCTGGCTGCCCTCCTCTTCTCTGGCGTCCACTTTCTTCTCCACGCCCTCACCGCGCAGCAAGGCTTCCAGGGTGGTGCTTTCCGAGGTGAACCCATCTTTCTTCAGGGGCAGCTCCACTTCTGAGAATGACACAGAAAGGCATGTGAGGCCTCTAGGAGCAGCTGGGAGAGGAAGAATGGTTCTTAAGGACATCACGGACCAGAGATCCCGAGCAAGACTCAAACAGCCTGCACAGGAGGAATACGGGGTGGGGGAGCTTTCGTTTTATAACCGTCCCACAGGTAGAGCCCAAACTAGAGAAAGCTGAGGCACAGCAGAAAGAGTACCAGGCATGTGGGATTGGGGTGCCTGAGCCTTTGGCCGTGTGACTGCGGGCAACGTGCTCCTGGAGCCTAAAGCTTCTCCATGCACAGAGGAGGACAACAGGGCCCAGAGCCACAGTTGTCCTGTGGGGCCAAAAAGCGTTCGTTCACATGAAGGGCGGAGGCGCTCGGCAGCACACCAACACCGGCCTCCATGGTTGCATCTTCTCCCTCAGTCATAGCTCTGCCCTGGCAACCTCATGACCTCCCTGGCCATGTTGGCCGCGAGCTCTGCTAGGGCTCCGCGTAAAGCGACAGCAGATAAGAACAGAGGCTGTTCTTGCCCTCTCACAGGAGCAGGGAAGTGCTTGAAAGCCCAGGGAAAAGGCAAAAGCGCAGAAGGCCCCAGAGCAGCCACGAACGCCAGAGTATCCACACTCCGGGGCACGAGGGAAGTGGGAACTGCAGGGCATTTTTCCCGGAGGCACTGAGATTTGATCAGCTACCGCAACTGAAGTTACTGGGTGCTAAGCCTCTGACACTGAATGACCCCAAAGCTCCATGCATTAAAGCCTGGGCACAGTGTGGCCCAGCTGGGAGAGGGCAGAAGCTTCAGGAGACAAGGGAGCTTCTCGGGTCACCAGGGACGTGCCCTTGAAAGGACTGCGTGACCCCCATCTCGTCGCTGACCTCTCTTTCGCTTCCGGACCACGAGGCGAGCAGTGGGCTCTGCCGCACATGCCGCACCACTGGCAGTCAGCATCCATGCCAGAGCCCAAAATGATGAGACTGCTTGGTCACGGGCCGGGACCTCTAAGACCGTGAGCTGAAATCACTCGCTGTAATTGTCTCAGGAATATCACTGTGGGGATAGCAGGTTACCATACTGGGCCAGCTGGTACCAATGGCAGTCAGGTACATCTCTGCTTCTGAGACCAGAGAGAAGAGCAAAATCCCTTCCTCAGATGCCTACCAAACTCCAAACCTACCAGAGGCCTTTTGTTTTTTGGGGGTTTTTTGTTGTTGTTGTTGTTGTTTTGGTTTGGTTTGGTTTTGGTTTTGGTTTTGGTTTTTTTTTTGGTAGGCAAGTTTTATTATAGCAGTGGCCTGGGGAACACAGAAGTTGAGCCAGGAAGATAGCTCAGTAGAATAAGCACTTCCCTGGCAAGCCCAAGTGTCTATGTCCAATCCCCTGTTCTGGGAGACTGGGACAAAGGCGACATCGATTCATTTGTTTTAAAATATATCTTTTTTAATATCAAAGTACAACATATTTCCCAGCAATCAGAGGCCTTTTAAAAAATAAAAACAGCTCAGTGGAATGAGCATTTCCCTGGCAAGTGCAAGGGCCTGAGTTCAATCCCAGGTTCCGCAAAAAAATAAATAACAGAAGCCTAATGTATGCTGGTTGTATTTTTTTTTTCCAGAACCAGAGGTTAAACTCAGGCCCTACTGAGCTATCTCCCCGGCCCTGCTGAGTGCATTTCGATTTACTGCAAAGTTCCTCCAACCTTTCCTCTGATCCTGGACTTCACACACACACACACACGCACGCACGCACGCGCACACTTAGGGTGGTAGCCACCCTAAGATGGATACAAGAGCAAGAAGCAGAGGCACCCCAGCAAACAGCAGTGCAAGCAAGGAGCTTGCTGAAATGGGAAACCTGAGATTTAGAGACTAAAACAGACATGTGGGTAGGACAGAAAGAACCAACAGGGGGTGGTGAGTGCCCCAGGGAGCCAGTCCTACTGCCATTCCTACAGAAACAGAGGCAGAGCTCTTGCAAGAATCTTCAGGAAGGGCCATCCAGACAGCTCAGTGGACTAAAGCACCTGCTTAGGCAGACCCAGCAGCTGGGGTTTGATCCCCAGCACCACAAACCAAGCTGGCCCCAGTCCTGGGGCACGCTGAAACATCGATTGAGACTGGGCATGGTGGC